CTGTGTGGTGCCCTCTCTGGAGCGCACCTCTCCCGTCTCCTTAGAAATGAGCTCACCCTGGACATGGAGAAAATAGTGCTGTGGTCTGACTCCACCACTGTACTCAACTGGTTGAGGTCCGAGTCATGCCACTTCAAGGTCTTCGTCGGCACCCGCGTGGCTGAGATCCAGGAAATAACTCAAGCGCACACCTGGCGCTATGTGGATTCAGCCCAGAACCCCGCGGATGATATAACCCGTGGGAAGACCCTTTTGGACCTGGCCAGACCCAACAGATGGAGTCAAGGGCCTCCTTTCCTGCTCCTAAGTCCAGAGCAGTGGCCTCCAGAGCCGAGCGGCACCCTGGCTGAGCCACCAGGCTCATCTGAGCTCCGCAAAGAGACCTTTTGTGGAGTTTCTACCACCTTTGACCCCGCCACCTCGAACTTCAGCGGATATGACACCTGGGCGGAGCTGCTGGAGGCGGTTATTACACAGCTGCATGGGGCAGCCAGAGGCGGGGAACTTCATCTGCTCAGGACTATATTCAAGCGGAGAAGCACGTTTTGAGAGAAGCTCAAAGGGAGAGCTTTCCTGAGGAGTATCGGCTACTTAAGCAGGGGAAGTCTGTCCGTCGCAGTAGTCGTCTCCTCGCACTGTCCCCTGAGTTTGACCATGAAGATGAGGTTATCCGTGTAGGGGGACGTCTCCGCCGCTCTGAAGATCTTGCATTTACCAACTCGCACCCCTTAGTTTTGGATCCAACACATCCGGTCACCAGCTTGCTCATTCAGGATGTCGACAGTCGTCTGCATCATCCAGGGCCAGAGAGAGTTTTCGCGGAGATTCGGCGCACTCATTGGATCCTGAGAGGCAGGGAAGCGGTTAGGCGTTTCCAGAGGACCTGTCTTGAGTGTCGCAGATGGAAAGCCCGACCAGCGGTTCCCAAGATGGCTGACCTGCCAGTGGCACGCCTTCGCCTTTACAAACCTGCCTTTTATTCGACAGGTATGGACTGCTATGGACCCTTTGAGGTCAAAATCGGGCGCCGTGTGGAGAAAAGGTGGGGCATCATTTTTAAGTGCCTTACTATCAGAACGGTCCACCTTGATGTCCTGACCTCCATCGACACAGATGCCTTCCTAATGGCACTTCGTCGGTTCGTTGCCAGGAGAGGGACCCCAGCTGAGTTGTACTCAGACCAGGGAACCAACTTCCGTGGAGGAGAAAGGGAACTCCAAGTAGCTTTCACGGCCATGGCCGCTGACCTGCAGAAGCTCCTGGCTCCCCAGAAGATCATCTTCCACTTCAATCCACCAGTGGCTCCTCATTTTGGGGGAGTGTGGGAGCAGGAGATTAGATCTGTCAAGACGGCGCTCTACACTACAGTAGGATCTCAACCCGTACAAGAGGAGGTCCTCCGTACGGTCCTTGTGGAGGTGGAGGGCATCTTAAACTCCAAACCACTAGGTTATGTCCCGTCCGACATCAGTGATCCTGATCTAGTGACCCCCAACTGTTTTCTGATGGGGCGGCCTGATGGGGCGCTTCCTCAAGTCGTTTACCCTAAAGAAGAGCTCCTGAGTCGCCGCAGATGGAAACACTCTCAGGTGCTTGCTGACCACTTCTGGTCTCGATTCATCCGACTGTACCTTCCAAGCCTACAGCTTCGCTCGAAATGGCAGTCATCCCCCATGGACGTCACCGAAGGTTCGGTGGTGATGATCATAGATCCTCAGCTACCCCGCGCTTCCTGGCTCCTGGGTCGCATCTCCAAGGTCCACCCCAGTCCCGATGGGCACATCAGGTCTGCTGACGTCAAGGTGGGAGACAGGACCTTCACCCGACCTGTGGCGAGGCTGGTGGTATTGCCTGCCCTCCCGGACGAAGACAAAGGACAGTCACAGTGACTTTATTAGAGAAGTTACCTTTTGTTGTTAGCAAATGTACTTCATACATTTGGGGGCGGCTGTACAAAAGGCCCCATAGTTGAGAGTTCTCCTTTCTATTCTGTTCAGTTGTTCACCTGTAGTTGCTTAGAGTGACCTGTAGATGTCACCCCACCACTTTGGATGGGAGAGGTTTTGATAGGTGATTACGTGGGTGAGATCTATATGAGTGCGTTTGCTCCCGATTATCAGCAGAGAAGTCATTTCGTGAGAAGTGTGCGTTACTGAACAACGTAAGTCTGTGATGTATGAGGATGTGCGGATAAAATGTGTTTGTGACTAGTTGAAGTTAGAGGGAAGTGAAGATGTTTCTGTTTGTGTCGCTAGCGAGTGCTAAGCTAAGCTAAGCTAAGCTAAGTTAGGCTAGCTCTCCTGCCGTGTGATTGGGGATAATTGTGTGCTGAGTTAGCTCAGTGGGTTTATATATGGGATGTGGGTAATATCTGGTTTATGGTAGCAAAGGGGATGTTAGTTTCTTTCCTACCTGTGTTTCTGTTGATGTACTCTGAGTTACTATTATGAACATTTTAGTGATGTACTATTTTCTTTCTGTTCATTACAGAGACCACACACACACACACACACACCCACACAGACACACACCTGTACCTAAACTTGTATGTAACACCTGCTCCTCCGACAATCCTGATACCTTTGACTGTGTGGAGGCAATACAAGAGTTTAAACCATCCTGGGCGTCTTCTGTGTCTTCTTCCTGAATCGCCATCCGGGCCTAGAGTAGTGTTCTGGCTGACACTCCGGGGAGTGGCAGCTGCAAACCTGAATCAACACCTTACAGTCCTCCCCTTCCGGGTTATCTACCCAACACCTGTTGTTACCTGTTGTTAACTGTTGTTACCTGTCGTACCTGTTGTTACCTGCCATTACCTTTTGTTAAATGTTGTTACCTGTTGTTAACTGTTGTTACCTGTTATTACCTGTTGTTACCTGGCGTACCTGTCGTTACCTGCTGTACCTGTCGTTGCCTGCCGTACCTGTCGTTACCTGCCGTACCTGTCGTTACCTGCTGTACCTGTTGTTACCTGCCATACCTGTTGTTACCTGCCGTACCTGTTGTTACCTGTTGTTAACTGCCATACTATTTGTTACCTGTCATTGCTTGTTGTTACCTGTTATTACCTGTTGTTAACTGCCGAACCATTTGTTACCTGTTGTTGCTTGTTGTTACCTGTTATTACCTGTTGTTACCTGCCATACCTGTCGTTACCTGCCGTACCTGTTGTTACCCGCCATACCTGTTGTTACCCGCCGTACCGGTCCTTACCTGCCGTGCCTGTTGTTACCCGCCATACCTGTCGTTACCTGCCATACCTGTTGTTACCTGTTGTTAACTGCCATACCATTTGTTACCTGTCATTGCTTGTTGTTACCTGTTATTACCTGTTGTTACCTGTCATACCTGTTGTTACCTGCCATCACCTGTTGTTAACTGTTGTTACCTGTTATTACCTGTTGCTACCTGTTATTACCTGTTGTTACCTGTCATACCTGTCGTTACCTGCCGTACCTGTTGTTACCCGCCATACCTGTCATTACCTGCCGTACCTGTTGTTACCTGTTGTTAACTGCCATACCATTTGTTACCTGTCGTTGCTTGTTGTTACCTGTTATTACCTGTTGTTAACTGTTGTTACCTGTTGTTAACTGTTGTACCTGCCATACCTGTTGTTACCAGCTGTACCTGTTGTTACCTGCCATTACCTGTTGTTAACTGTTGTTACCTGTTGTTAACTGTTGTTACCTGTTGTTAACTGCCGAACCATTTGTTACCTGTTGTTGCTTGTTGTTACCTGTTATTACCTGTTGTTACCTGCCATACCTGTCGTTACCTGCCGTATCTGTTATTACCCGCCATACCTGTCGTTACCTGCCGTACCTGTTGTTACCTGTTGTTAACTGCCATACCATTTGTTACCTGTCGTTGCTTGTTGTTACTTGTTATTACCTGTCGTTACCTGTTGTTACGTGTTGTTAACTGTTGTACCTGTTGTTACCTGCCATACCTGTTACCCGCTGTACCTGTTGTTACCTGTTGTTAACTGTTGTTACCTGTTATTACTTGTTGTTACCTGTTATTACCTGTTGTTACCTGCTGCTAACTGTTGTTAACTGTCATACCTGTTGTTACCTGTTGTTAACTGCCGTACCATTTACCTGTCGTTGCTTGTTGTTACCTGTTGTTACCTGCCATACCTGTCGTTACCTACTGTACCTGTTGTTACCTGTTGATAACTGCCATACCATTTACCTGTCGTCACCTGCTGTACCTGTTGTTACCTGTTGTTAACTGCCATACCATTTACCTGTCGTTGCTTGTTGTTACCTGTTATTAACTGTTGTACCTGTTGTTACCTGCCATACCTGTCGTTATCTGCTGCTAACTGTTGTTAACTGTCATACCTGTTGTTACCTGCCATACCTGTCATTACCTGTTGTTACTTGGTGTTACCTGTGAACCAATAAATTATCACAGCAGCTAACACTTACATAATGTTATAGCATTTACACAGATCTACATGAAGTTATGTAGTTATTTGCAGACATAATTAGCTGCAGGGATAGCTAGCTGAAGCACTTCCTGTTCAGAAAGAATGACTTCCAGGCAGAATTTCACAATAACACTCTAACAATAAAAGGCATTTCCAATAAAATTGTGCAGATTCATTTTACCTGATAGAAAACTATTTAGCTTTTAGCTGTGGAGAGTAAGTGGTACAAATACTGATATAATTTATACTTTATAACAATTTATTCTACTGAAGATTGTGGCAGAAGGTTGATCCCGCTGGTGCAAAAATCTAAAACAAATCAACTATTTCTATTGATTTGATCTAATGTGGATTTAAAAGAATTTTGATATATTTTTTAATTTCAGCCTGCTTTTTAATTTTACATATGAGCAAATGAACTATGCTATGACTTTTGTGTTTATTTGATTAAATTGAATGTGGACTGATTCCATTTTGTTTGTCTTGTTAAAGTGGAAAAAATGTCAGAAACAGGATATGAATGAGAGTCAAACTGACTGCTCTGATCTCTCTAGCACTTTACCCTGCAGCATGTTCCTGTAGGCGTTGTCTGTGATGGAGTAGATGTGCGGCGGCACCTCGTGGCGTTTCTTGCCCTTGTACATCTCAATGATCTTTTCCGAGTAGATGGGCAGCATCTTGTAGGGGTTGACCACCACACAGAACAGACCTGAGTACGTCTGCAGAGGTAAGAAAAAGTACGTGTTGTTTTACTCCACAATGAAATGTCCACATGCTTTCATATTAAAACATCCATCCAAGAGTTGTCACAGATTGTTTTATTTTCCTGGGACTGCTGTCTCTTTAGCTCAGTGAATTTCCAGGAATAAAGGGAACCTCATGTGTGTGGAAGCAGTGATTTTATTCTACACAGAAACAGAACCATGTTGTTCTTCCACGTTTCAGTTCATGGTCAGTTTGTGACTTATTTCTATTTTCTCTGACGCCTGCACTTATAAGGAATGAGGAGACTCAAACTCCTAACTTCCAGAGATAATGGATGGTAACCTTTACGTCCAGCACCTTATTAGACTCTGTAAGACTGACTAAAAAATCCAAACATAAGCTGTTGATCCTCCCAGAACATCCTGACTCCAGGAGGAGAGCACGCCATCGCTTTAGAGTTTTAAACCTGAATATGGACACCATCTGAACTTCTTGGGTTTATAAATAATACCCTCTCATCTGCAGCTGCTTCTGACTGAAGACTTTCAATCTGTGCAACTTTAAAGTATATATTTTTAAATCCATCTTTCCATTTTAAGTTTTATGGTTAATATTTGATCTGTCAACAAAAGCCTAGATTTTTTTTCAGAAGTTATTTTGTTCATAAATCATCTCCAGTCTTTGAGTCATTTCCTGTGAACAACTGAGTGTAGGTACGTATCCGTGGTACTTTTCTAAATAAATATCTGATTTCAGACAGACGTATGGTAAATGACCTGTACAGCACCTTCTTAGAGTTCTACAACCCCCCAAAGCGCTTCTTAACACAACCAGTCATTCACCCATTCACACGCTGGTGGTGATGAGCTACACTGTAGCCACAGATGCAGATGGGCGCACTGAGAGAGGCGAGGCCTGCTGACCACAGGCACCAGCGGTCCCTCTGACCACCACCAGCAGGCAAGGTGGGTTAAAAGTCCCACAGCAGCACTCTCTGGTCGGAGCCCTGATCGAACCTGCTCCACCTCCTGCTGTCTCAGATATGTGTGATACCCAAGTGGTGCTCGCTGCAGAACCACAAAGGCGGAGCTGCACCAGAAGGTGGAGCTGCACCAGAGTCAGCCCCGCCCATTCCAGAATCAGCCCCGCCCATTCTATCGGAGTCAGTCCAATTCCTTCCCGTTGTCAGACTTTATAGCATTCTGGAACCAAAGAGGGTGTTATAGCTAAAAAATGCAAGATTGAGGAGGGAGTTGAGAAGTGAATTGAAAAGTTTTTGTAAAGGTTCCATATAATTAAAAATCTAACTTTTGGAACTTTTAATCATGTTATATTGTCATTTCCTCATAAGAAACACGCCAAAGCCATTTTTGGCCTCATTCATGCATTTTCTTCCCATCTCAGCTTCAATTTGGTCTCCTCCCCCAAAGCGGGTCTGGTCTTGGTTCTCAAATCTGGATATTCTGTGAATTTTCTGACAAATTATTTCTGAAATGACTTTTACTGAGACACCGCCAGAAAAATCATACATCCCATCTACAAAGACACACCAAATAACATAATAAAATGTAACGCCACTTAGTTTTTATCAGATGTGGTGGTGTAGTGGTGATGGGCTCAGATTGACATGCAGTTTTGCGCAGGTTCGCCTCCCAGCAGTGGAAATATTCTATAAACTCTTTTCCTCATTTCTAGCTACACTTGCCAGTACTATGTTTACAACGATTTATTGGTATGCCGTTTAACATATACTGACTAATGTGTTTTTTTTTATTTATTCATTCGTTTATTTAGCCAGTGTGAGTCCATCTGTGAGCAGAGTTTCAACTAAAATGCTGTTTAGGAACGACCAAATTCAAAGAACTTGTAGAGGCATAAATATTTTGCTTAAAATGAACATTACAACTAAAATATGAACAAATTAAATGTTTCAGCTGGCTGAATAGATTGTTGCCGACCCCACCGAGAATCGAACTAGCATCAGCTGAGGGGAAAGCAAAACGTAAGTCAGACGATCTTGCCACTGGACTACCAGAACCCACAGGGAGAGGGTACGTGCTGTTGTACAGGAGTTTTGTTAGAGCGGCTGTGGGCAGATATTCGCTACGAGAAACCTTTTTATTTCGGGATATATTCAGACTTTGTCATGTAGCAAGTTATATTTATCTTGTTTAATTGGAGCACAGAACATAGCATTAACGACTGTAAACTAGTAACAGCCGTAATTCATGTGGGTCAGGTCAGTTTGCGATAAAGTTGAAAACAAAAACGGAAGTCAGTGGGCTAGGCTGAGTTTGCGGGAATGGGCGGGGTTGACTCTGGTGCAGCTCCACCTTATGGTGCAGCTCCGCCTTTGTAGTTCTGCAGCGAGCACCCTCTCGTGATACTTTTGTAGTAGCAGCAGCCATTTAACAACTATCAAAGTATTTTGAGTCAAACAAGAAGAAACTAAAACAGAAGATGACTTTTTTTGTAGCAATTTCATAAAAGTGAGAATTTTCAGACGATGAGTTTCACAGAGAACTTTTGATCTGTTTTCAAATGAAGAAAAAGAATGATGAATAAATATTTTTTTTCAAACACTTCTCTTTCCTTTCTTGTCAAAATCAATTTGTAAAGTACATTTAAATCTTAATTTAGAGAATGATTAAAGCCATAAATCAAATTTCATTTAAAATTTAGATATTGATGTGTTTGATGTTCTTTTTCTTATTTTAATTTAATTTCTTAAAGCCCACAGATTCATCTGACAAACTGCATCTTTCTTGAGTTTGATTACTCATATTAAAAATCCTTCTGAAGACATATTCATCTATTTTGATTAGAAAGTGTGGAAAATGTTAACACTGAAGTATTTCTCACATAGATCAGGCTGGAGAAGTATCGCTCTTTCAGGTTGTGCAGGACGGATGCCTCGTTGAGGAAGGTGAGGGCGGCCATGTCCTCCACTTTGCTGAACTTTGGAGGGTTCATCTTCTGGATGTCGTCTTTGTTCACCATCACCTTCTGACCGTTGGAGAGCTCCACCAAAACCTGCAGGACAACAGAGATATCCAGACAAGATTATGGCCTGTTTTCATTTCTCAGCAGTTTCTGTATTTTAAATTGTAACAAACGTTTTCCCAAACAACTCTGGCATAAATATAAACAATCACTCTTGTTTCACATAAACTGAGCTCAAAGATCTTCAGCATGTCATCATTAAAACGGATCAATAAATACGTTTTTCTTTTTGAATTGGAGTCAAATCTGACTGAACGGTGGTTTTGTCAGGACTTTGAGGATCATCAAAACTTGAGAAATTTGTTTTCATTTTAAAAGATGCATTTTTTAAAGTTGCAAACATTAGGTTATTATGATAAACACATGCTAATCAACACTGAGTAAAGAGGGCAAACATTCATTGTTTACTAAGCATAAATGGGTATGTGGCAGATCCGGGCACAGCTCTACTGTAATACCTGGCCTGCATAAAGTCATGTTGGACTCAATAAGTAAAATGTTAACTTTCTTCTCAATTCAGCTGAAACCATTGTTTGTAATTCTTATTAGAGCTAAACGAATTTAAAAAACAATTATCTGGACAGAAATATGAAGAACAATGTTGGACTAGAACTGAATGCCAGGCTGGAGCTGTAGGTTTTACCTGCACTTATGGGAGAGTGTCATTTGCTAATGTTGATTAATGTTCTGGATAAATTGGTCAAGAGGAGGAATCTAAATACATAAAGCTGACCAGGAACTGATCCCTGTGGTACACCCCACGCTGCTGTTTACTGCAGCATTGATAAACAGTGACTTTGTCAGTACCTGCTCTCCCTTCTCCTCCTTGATGCTGGCCGCCTCAAAGCCCTCCCTCTCTGACGGCACCCACACCATCTTCTTGGCCGCCCAGTCAGCCTGGGCCACTCCGCTGTTACGGAAGTCGTTTTCCAGGTAGAGGTATTTGCTGTCATCAGCAGACAGGTCAGCCATGTTGGAAGTGTCAACGAGGACAAGTGGATCGACCTCTGGGACAGAAGCAGCAGCTACGGGGACGGCTGCAGGCGGTTCAGATGTGTCTGAGGTGGCGTCGGTGTCTTTGATAGAGACGGCCTCTGTAGTGGTGATGGGGGTTGATCTGACCACTGACCTCCGTTTCACTTCTGACCTGTTAACGTCACATTTATAGTGTTTAGTGTTGTTGGTGTCCTGACTCTTTTCATTTTGAAATAAGTCCTAATGTTGGTTTTTGGCTGATTCATATTGTTTTTCCTTCCAAGTGGAGGTCAATGATGAGCATCACCAGCAGGTGTTCTTCATTTAGCATTCCTGCAATGGGTGAACCTAAAAAAGGTGAATGGCTGAAATGCTTTTTCAAAAAGAGCTGGAACGTGCTGCACCTTCTTTGTTCAATGTCACACCTTTAAACAAGTTAGCCCGATTCCCTGCTTTGTCTGAATGACAAAGCAGGGAAGTGACAATTTAAAGGCAAAATGTGACTAATCAGCACACATCCATCTACGACAACAGCTGATTAAACCTAAAAGCAATTAGAGACAGAAACTTTAAGTTATCTGAAGGAAGGACGTGTTTTAGGGATTTCCAACCACACATAAATGTGAAGGACTGACCTTTCTATCCACACCTTTATGGGCATTTGAACAATATTTGTCATGTTCTGAGCCCAGTTTGTGTAGCTGGAGGCCAAATCCTAACCTCTGACCGTGTGGCTTTCAGCTCAGACTCAGGGTAACGTGTGGCTTCACCTGCTTGTCTGTCTGACAGCAAATTCCAGCGATGCCTAATTCAAAAGAGCATTGTTCCTATAATCCAGAAAAGTGCGCATTCTGGTATCTATAATGAATTAATAAATGTCTTTTAAACAATAAAAATGTCTAACAAGTCAAATTAATTTCAGGGATTTGTCAAAAAGACAAATGTGTTTGCATAGATGATAGCAGTTTATTGTACGAAAACACAGTAAATAAAAGTCTAAGCAGCTTCTGGTGCCCTGAAGATGATGACAAACTGTCTCTAAAGAGTTTCAGACATCAAAAGTAAGTGAGGTTTGTTCTGGAATAACAACTGCGCCTAAAGATTTCAGTTTTTCACCTCAAAACACCCGCAAACACCAACAGAATCACAAACAGATCCAAGCGATGACATAACTTACTGTTCAGGTGTTCAAAGGCTTCTTTCTTTGCACCCCTACAAATAAAACGGACACAGCTGCTTCTCACATTTTCTCCACCTCCTCAAGCTGCTGCCTTTGCATTCACATTTCTAACATTTGCATTAAGTTCCAGTGAACTGTCCCACCGATGACTGCCGATAATGACCTGGGCACATTTCCCTCATTTTGCATGGAGCTACTTACTCACTGATCCAGGTCCGTGGCTCTCCGTGTAGGTCACAAGGCTGCTTTGACCTCCCATTGAACAGCAGGCAATAAAACATGAAAAGCAGCACACAGATAACCCCTGTAATCAAACAGGAGAGCTGCCATGCTGGAATGCCCATGTTTGGCTAACCCTTTGCTCCTGGTGGCTCAGTAGTCCAGAGACGGATGCTAGGAACTTAGCTGAAATTTCACCTTATAAGGTGCAGCAGCTCATGTGTCCAGCCAAGCTTAGCGTTTACACCAAAATGGTGACATGTCAGAGGATGCATCCATGTGTGGCTGCAGCCGCAGCAGCCGTGAGCTCAGATCAATATGCTACACCTGGTTACAGGAATGCCTGATCTCATAAAACACTTCAGAGATTTAGATTCAAACTGTAACCTTTTAGCTGTGTTTAAACTCAAATAAATCACGTTATGTCATATTAAATTTGTCTGCTTTTAAATCACTTTAGGACTACACCATCACAAAATATCTTTCTGAATGACTTTATTAGATAGGCAGCTGTCAAAATGAAGGCTTTTGGATTTATTTAACTTTCACATCACTTAGCTCTTCCAGTGAAACATCTACCAGATCATGTCAGGTAAGTGCTGCATCCATGGATACGTTTAAAAGCACTTGTATTAAAGCAGCTAGTTTTCAAATGGTCATACTTACAGGTCAGTCCTTTGGTCCTCATAGCAGGTTATCCAGGGAAACACCAGGTCAGGTGAGCGAAGGGATGCTGCTGATGATGATGATGTCGCTCTTCCTCCTCCTCTCTGTTTAAAAAGGCTGTGACACCTGGGGTGGAGCGGAAAGCACCACCCGCCTTCTCTCCCTACTTGGCATGTCTTCATTCACCCAATCAGATCCAGTTTATTAGCTTCCCTTAAAGTAAGAGCTCCTAAGTCATGATCAGTAAAATGTCAGGTCAGTGAGTTAAAAGGTAACAAGGTGGTAGATGTGAACCAGCAGAGTAAACACTGTAAGACAAAACAACACTTCAAGAGAGAAATTTGACTCTTTGTGTAAATTAGAGTTCCGGTTCCTCAATGAGAAATGTTTTAAATTAGGTTGAAACTATTGGACACCAAAAAAAAAAAAAAAAATCCTCTCATTTAGGTGAATTTTACTCATAGTCATCTAAGATTCAGCAGCATGTGGAGGATCCTTACTCAGCCACAACAGTTTCCTCCTCATGCTGGTCACCAGTCAGTGCTGAATGGCATCTTACTCAACCAGGAATTTCTAAAGGTCAACCAGTTAATGTTGGTCACACACAGTATGGCTGTTCACGAACTGTTAATCAGCATCAAGCAACTGTGACTGGAACACACCCCTTAGCGCCTGAAGTTCTCCGACTCCAGAAGTCTTCTGGGATTAGCACCGGTCTGATTAGCTGTTAAGCCTGATTTATGCTTCTCCGTCTGCGTCAGTGCGGAGACACGCAACGCCATTATCCGTCCTTGCGTAGGGCACGCAAGTACGTACGGAGTCGAGCCCACTTTTTTAAACATCCGTCGAACGAGACGGATGACGCAAGCTTGTGATTGGTCAGGACGCCGCTGTTGTTTACAGCGCCGCCATTGCAAAGAGAGCCGAGGATAACTAGCGGCAGACACGGAGCAGCTTGAAGAACACCTCGCGAAAAAACTCTAAAAATATGAACGTTTCATCCTCCCGTGACTGGAGGAGTGAAAAGATGCGCAGCAAGCATTTTATTTGTGGATGGAAATGACAGGAAACGTGGGTTTAGAGGTGGGGAGCGCATGAAGAGGTGGGAGGATGAGAGACAAATATGTCCGTGTTAAAAGTCTCTTATAAACACAAAAAACACAATATAAACACACGATCTTGGACCGATACATGACAGGATACCACAGAACAGCGCTACGCCCTCTGTTGTCCTGCCGGGCAATTGCTTTGCAACACTCTCCAGGAGACGGAGAAGTAAAAGAGCAAAACGCTTCCGTCAATCCGTGCGTGTCTGTCCCTTGCGGAGCTGACGGAGAAGCATAAACCAGGCTTTAGCTTGAATCCTTCATGAGAATTTCTCTCTGATTCTCCAAACTCAGATGTTTATGTTTCATGTTTATGTTTATGTTTATGTATTTAGCAGACGCTTTTGTCCAAAGCGACTTACAAGTGATAATCGGCATGTTGTCCTTGAGGCTAACAACAACAATAACAACATCAACAACTTGACATCAATCATGGAGAGGAGGGAACAAGGAGTGGACAGTAGAGAGGGGGGACGGGTGCAGGGAGGGTGCTAGTTAAGAAGATGCTCTCTGAAGAGCAGGGTCAGGAGTTTCTTGAAAATTGAAAAGGAAGCCGCTGTTCTGGTAGTGCTTGGAAGGTCATTCCACATTTGTGGAACGATGCATGAGAAGAGTCTGGATTGTCCTGAGCGTGGTGTAGGCACTGCTAGCCGACGATCCTGTGATGACCGGAGCAGCCGGGCTGAGACGTAAGCCTTTGCAAGAGGATTCAGGTAGATGGGAGCCGTACCATCTCGGACTTTGTATGCTAGTGTTAGCTATTTGAATTTGATGTGTGCTGCTAGCGGTAGCCAGTGGAGCTCAATGAACAGAGGGGTGACGTGTGCTCTTTCTGGCTGATTGAAGACCACACGCGCCGCTGCGTTCTGGACCATTTGAAGAGGTCTCACAGTACAGGCTGGAAGACCAGTTAGGGCGTTGCAGTAATCGAGGCGGGAGATGACAGTAGATTGCACCAGGAGCTGGGTGGCATGTTGTGTTAGGTATGGTCTGATCTTTCATATGTTATACAGCGCAAAGCGGCATGAACGAGCAACAGAGGCAACATGATCTTTAAAGGTCAGGTGTTCATCAATCACAACACCGAGATTTCGAACTGCCTTTGAAGGAGCCAGAGATAGGAAGTCATTTTGGATTGATATTGTGCTGTATGGATGGTTTTGCTGGGATGACAAGTAGTTCAGTTTTAGAGAGGATGAGTTGGAGATGGTGGGATTTCATCCATTTTGATATGTCAGAGAGACAGTTTGATATTCGTGCAGAGACAGTGTGGTCATCTGGTGGAAATGACAGATCTCTCTGACTGACTGCAGGCCAGGCTTGGTGCTTTTATTTTGAAACTCTCCGTGCTTCACGGCTTGTTTCTATGGTGACACACGTAAACAACCTTTGCTAGACATTTGGCAGTTTCGTCTAACAGAAGTGAAAATGTCGCAGCAGGCTTTTTCTCCGGATAACTTTGGCATCATGTTTGCAGGCTCTTCCCCGGAGGACGTGTCCCATGCCCGGCAGCTGTGGAGCTCCGTGTCCCTGCCGCCGCCGCTCGAGTCCCGCCTGGTGTCGGAAGATATCCACCAGAGGCTTCCGGTGTCCCGGCCGAAGGGAAGGGGGCTCTCCGCCGCTCCGGTGTCAAGACCCTCCGTTCTGCAGCCGCCGGATGTCTCGGTTCTCCTGCAGAAGCATGAGGAGAGACGGCGGTACGAGGCCATGGCTGATCAGAGGAAGGAGATCATGGCGCTCCTGATGAAGCAGAGAGAGCGGAGGCTCCAGAAGGAGCTCCTGTCTGCGGCCGTGAAGATCTCCAACAAACCGCAAGAAGATCCAGACTCAGAGCTGGAGAAGGAGCTGGTGAAACAGCTTCAGTGAGAACGTTTCACTTCCAGGGAACTTTCCGCGTGCTCGTGGCTTTTGGTGTTTTAAACAAAAAATGTTTTATTTTATTGTTTTTATTGGTTCACACTGCTGCTGCAGTGGTTTTGCTTTATTTTGGGTTCATTTGATCTTTGCCAAAAAAAAAAAAAAAAAACAGCAAATACCTACTAGTTGGAGTTGATCATTATTCAGCACGAATTGCATGGCCCGTGTTTACAAAGTAAAAAAAAATCTGTTTATGAAAATGTTTTGATTCTGACTAAAACACTGAAACTCACCACAGTCCCTTTGGCTGACTGGTAAGTGTGCATATATATATATATATATATATATATATATATATATATATATATATATATATATATATATATAGTGTGTGTGTGTGTACAAAAATTTAAAGAAACACATTAGATACATCAGATCTCAATATGAAGTTGGATATCTATACAGTACAAATAACGACAGGGCAATGTCTTAGGAACAAAAGGATGCCAAGTCTTTTAATGGAAATAAAAGTTATCAGCCCACAGAGGGCTCAGTTGTGTAGACACCCTAAAATCTGAGTGAAATGAAGATGTGGCAGGCTAGTCCATTATGTCAAAAACTTAATTTCTGCAACTCAAATTGCTTCAGCATCTTGTGTGGCCCCACGAGCTTGTGTGCAGGCTTGACAACGTCGGGGCATGTTCCTAATGAGACAACGGATGTGGTCTTGTGGCATTTCCTCCCAGATCTGTGTGAGGGCATCCCCGAGCTCTTGTACAGTCTGAGGAGCAACCTGGCGCCGCCTAATGGACCAAAACATAATGTCCTACAGATGTTCTATTGGGTTTAAGTCAGGGGATCGTGAAGGCCATTCAATTGTTACAATTCCTTCATCCTCCAGGTACTGCCTGCATACTCTTGCCACATGAGGCCAGGCATTGTCGTGCATCAGGAGAAAACCAGGACCTACTGCATCAGTGTAGGGTCTGACAAAGGGTTCAAGGATTTCATCTCCATACCTTATGGCAGTCAGAGCACCATTTCTTAGGCAGTAGAGGTCTGTGCGTCCCTCCATGGGTATGCCTCCCCAGACCATCACTGACCCACCACTAAACCTGTCATGTTGAACGACGTTGCAGGCAGCATAACGTTCTCCTTGTCTTCTTCAGACTCTTCCACGTCTATCACAGGTGCTCAGGGTGAACCTGCATGGTGCATGGTGGCGCTGTGGTTAGCACTGTTGCCTCGCAGCACAGTCGCAGGTTCGAAACTCGGCTGTGGCCTTTCTGCGTGGAGTTGCGTGGTCTCCCCATGCATGCGTGGGTTTCCTCCGGGTACTTCAGTTTCCCCCACAGATCACAACATGCCCTGTAGGTTATAAATTGTAAGTCACTTTGGATAAAAAGCGGTGCTCAGCCTGTTCCACCTTGCACAAAGGAGCAGGTATCGGTCCTGCTGATGAGTTGTGGACCTTCTTCGGCCCTGTCCAGCTCTCCGAGAATAACCGCCAGCCTCCTTAGATCTCCTCCATGTTCTGGAGATTGTGCTGGGAGACACATTAACCTTCTTGTTGCAGCACGTGTGGATGTGCCATCCTGAAGAAGTTGGACAACCTGTGCAACTTCTGTAGGGTTAAGGAATCGCCTCACACTGCTAGTAGAGAGCCAAAACTAGTACGAGTGCAAAACCAGCCGAAAAATATCAAGAGGGAGAAACTTGAAATGACCTCCATGCTTTCGTTCTTTTTTAAACACAGAAACAGTTTTGTTTACCTGTTTGTAGCTACGGTTTCGCCGACAGCTGCCGGCTTCTTCAGGCTGACGCTGATGGTGGTGCGTCACTTCCTTCTCCGTTTATCTGCGGGCAGCAGAGGACGTTGTCGCCCTCTACTGCCCGCTCTCCCCTCTCCGACGATGCAGTCCCATGCGTGGTCCAGCGTGTAAACTCCGTCGTCCCTGTTCATGGTCCCACATCCACGTCTCCTTATCTCGATTGCTTCCTTGATCCATCTTTTGTATTTTTGTTGTTCAGTGGTTATGATCCGTGTGTTGTCCCAGTCCATTATATGGTTTTCTCTTAAGCAATGATCTGTTACGGCTGACTTTTTTATTGTACTTTCTGCTTCTTCTTTTGCTGCTCTTGTGTGTTTACGATTTGCCTCTTTCTCGCACTCCTTTCTGTGTTCTATTGTCCGTGTATTGAGTTGGCGTCCGGTTTCTCCTATGTATGTTTTATTGCATATTTTGCATGGGATTTCGTAGATGACTCCACATTTTTGTCCAGCTGATATTTTGTCTTTTGGGTGTACTAATCTGTTTCTAACTGTTGTGTATGGCTTTGTTGGTGTGTTTATGTTGTGTTTTTTCATTGTTGCTCTTATTTTTTCCGTTATGCCTCTGATGTATGGTAGGGTTATCACTGGTTTTGGTTCTTGTCTTTCTGGGTTTCTGGTTCTTTTTTTGGGTTGTTCTTTGCTTTCTGTTTTTGTTTGTTGTTTTCCTTTGTTTATTGCCCATGTCGGGTATCTGCAGGTCTTTAAAGCGTGTTGTATGTGTTTGTCCTCTTGTTTACGGTCTCTCTCTTCTGTTATTATGTTTGCTCGGTGATATAATGTTCTGATTACTGACATTTTGTGTATGGTGGGGTGTTCTGATGTCCATAATAAATATTGGTCTGTGTGTGTTGGTTTCCTGTATGTGTTTATGTTTAGGGTCCCGTCGGTCTGCCTGGTGATTTTCATGTCCATAAATGCTATGCTGCCTTCTGTTTCTAACTCATAAGTGAATTTTATGTTGCCCGTGTCTTCAATATTGTTTAAGTGCTGTATTAGTGTTTCTGTTTGACCTTTTGGTATGATTTCCAGTATGTCGTCTACGTAGCGTTTCCATAGTTTTATTTTGCAGTTTGGGGGGGCGGTGGCTATGGCTTTTTGTTCCAGGTCTTCCATGAAAAACTCGCACAGGGTGGCTGATAACGGGTTACCCATGGCGAAGCCTTCCAGTTGTTTGTATATTGTGTTGTCGTATGTGAAGTAAGTGGAGTTAGCTACCAGTCCTATCAGTTGTGCTATGTCATCTGCTGTGAGGTTTGTCCTTTTATGTAAAGTTTTGTCTTGTCTGATTCTGTTAACTACTATGTCTATGGTTTTTTTGGGTTGGTGTTTTTGTGAACAGAGATGTGACGTCATGTGAGATGAGTATGTCGTTGTCTTCTATTGTAATTTCCTTTAGTTCTTTTGCCAATTCTATGCTATTTTTGCAGTGTTGGTCTGTATTTCCTAATAACGGGCTGATGATTCTGCTGATATCTTTTGCCATGTTGTATGTTGGTGTACCTATGCTGTCAACTATTGGTCTAAGTGGGGTGTTTTGTTTATGTATTTTTGGTGTTCCATATATTCTTGGTGTTATGTTTGCTGTGGGAATCCAGTGTTTGTACATTTTTTCTGTTATTTTGCCTTTTTCGTGCAGTGGCTTCAGTAATTTTTTCATGTTTTTCTTAATGTTTTCTGTTGGATCTTTTTTAAGTATTTCTTATGTATTTTTGTCTTCTAGCATCTGTTTCATCTGTTGTTTATATTTTTCTCTGTCCATTACCACTGTGGTTCTTCCTTTGTCTGCCGGTAGAATAATTATCTGTTCATTTTTGGATAAAGCTCTCATGGCTGATTGTTCTTCTTTTGTAATATTGCTGTGTTGAATTTGGCTGTTTTTTAATATCCCAACTACGTTATTTCTGAGTTCTGCTTTCTTTCCCTCATCTGTGATCTGTTGACATGCTAGTTCTGTTGCTACAATAAATTCATCATATGGTATTTCTTTTGGTGTGACTGCAAAGTTTAAACCTTTCTTTAATATGCTCTCTTCTGCTTCTGTTAGTTTGTATTGTGAAATGTTACATACCCATGAGTTTGGTGTGGAGTTGCCTTGTATTTCTCCCCTCTTTTTCTTGTTTATGAGTCTGTTTAACTTCTTTATGTGTCTTTCTTTCACTTTTATGAACTCTTGTTCCTGTTTTTCCATCATGTGTCCTTTAATTAGTTCCTCCATTTGTTTATCAAGTTTGTAATTCCTTTTCAAGTCCAGGTGTCCTCTTTCCAGTTCGTCCTCCACACGCCTCTGTTTGGTTATGACGTTCCTTATCCTCTCCTTGAGCAGTGCTCTCTGTGCTCTTTCTATTATATTTTGTGCTGTCTGGTTCCGGATCGATGTTTTCAGCTGTAGGCTTGTGGGTGTGATGTTTTCGTCCCGGCATCTTAAACAGAAGCGAAGGTGGTTTCTTAGACTTGCGCGTTTCTGGTGTAATCGTTCCAAACGGCGGAAGTCCTTCGTTCCTTGTTGTCCGTATTTCTCTTTGAACATCTTAGGTGTGTTCTTGCTGTGTCTTTGTAAATCCATGCTTTCGTTCTTTTTTAAACACAGAAACAGTTTTGTTTACCTGTTTGTAGCTACGGTTTCGCCGACAGCTGCCGGCTTCTTCAGGCTGACGCTGATGGTGGCGCGTCACTTCCTTCTCCGTTTATCTGCGGGCAGCAGAGGACGTTGTCGCCCTCTACTGCCCGCTCTCCCTAAATGTGGAGTCATCTACGAAATCCCATGCAAAATATGCAATAAAACATACATAGGAGAAACCGGACGCCAACTCAATACACGGACAATAGAACACAGAAAGGAGTGCGAGAAAGAGGCAAATCGTAAACACACAAGAGCAGCAAAAGAAGAAGCAGAAAGTACAATAAAAAAGTCAGCCGTAACAGATCATTGCTTAAGAGAAAACCATATAATGGACTGGGACAACACACGGATCATAACCACTGAACAACAAAAATACAAAAGATGGATCAAGGAAGCAATAGAGATAAGGAGACGTGGATGTGGGACCATGAACAGGGACGACGGAGTTTACACGCTGGACCACGCATGGGACTGCATCGTCGGAGAGGGGAGAGCGGGCAGTAGAGGGCGACAACGTCCTCTGCTGCCCGCAGATAAACGGAGAAGGAAGTGACGCGCCACCATCAGCGTCAGCCTGAAGAAGCCGGCAGCTGTCGGCGAAACCGTAGCTACAAACAGGTAAACAAAACTGTTTCTGTGTTTAAAAAAGAACGAAAGCATGGATTTACAAAGACACAGCAAGAACACACCTAAGATGTTGAAATGACCTCTTCGTGTTAAACCAGTCCTGTTTTGAGGGTTTTGTAATTGTTGCCACTTTAGTGCACCTGTCGTTAAGTCCATGAACACAATACAGCTGAAAGTGATTAACAATGCCCTCAGCTGCTTAATCAACCAGGAAA